AACCATGTACTCTTTTCACATTATGCATGATCATACATCCCTTATATCTTCTTTATGCTTCCGACACGAAACCTTAGGCTATTATATATTGGGATCGTCCATGTGATAAGACTACAGTTTCCCTCAATCTCACACAGTGGGGTATTGTTCTTCATAACCTAGCTTCCTTATTGAACAAGTAGATAACTAGTTAGGTTCGAGTGCCTCATAGAACAATTGGAATAGTCTCTCATCGAACAAGTGAGACAACAATAGAAATTTTATCTAGGTAAACCATTAGGCTCTGATGGAAACCTTACCACATATATTTTAATTCTCTACTCCTCTTCTTAGGCAAACTCTCGCCTCACATAATCATGCAATGCACAAATAACAACATTCATGGCACGTATATGTCTCATACGTCAAATATGCCTATTCATTTCTTTGTACTCCACACCTTGTTATTTCACACTCAATCATAAAACTCCTCATCACACATAATCATTGAACTCCATTAACACATAATCATTGAATTTCACATAACACATAATCATTAGACTCCACAAAACACATAATCATTGAACTCCATTAACACATAATCATTGAATTTCACCTAACATATAATCATTGAACTCTACATAACACATAGTCATTGTATTATACACAATACATAATTGTTGAACTCCACAAAATCACAATGTTTTATTTTCAAACATTTTACACCTTACTTGAATTCTAGATAATTTCTCACATTTCAATTAATATGTGTGTATATATATATACATCAATAAATCAATTAACATATAAAAGTACAAGAAAGAATTTCCCCTCAGTTACCTCAAATTTTTAAGAGGTTAAATGTTTGCCCTTTAAATACCCACTTCTAAAGCTTCCATAAGGCTTGCATGGTGACAAATTGTGATTACTGAACATTTATTCACAACAACAATAATCAATACCCCTTCTAGGGTAATTTGCAATAGCTAGTTCAACACTTTCAAATTTTCAAAATCACCACTCTCTCATTTTAATCACTCCTTTGAGTTCACCAACTTCAATTAGGTTACATTAGCTTCATTAAACTCTCAATCGATCATTAATGGAGTTACATTATTCTATTTACCTCATTTATAGAGGATTTTTGTGTATTTATGGCTTTCAACCACCAAAACACAAAAAATAAAATGCTAGGTTTAAATAACCTTAACAACTCTTATTAACTTTATTTAAGTCAATGGGTTTTATGGATTAAAAATTATCTTTCTCAACTGAACCCTAACTTTTAAATTTTAAAAAAAAATGCAAGAGGAAGAGAGGGAGAGAACTTAAGAGTCTTACTTTTAGTGTTTGGAAGCTTCAAAATAGTCATAGTGCCTACAAATTCCTATTCCTAATAGAGGTTTACATGAGCTCTTTAGTTCTTCTTTTGCTTCTCTTTTATTTTCTGTCAGATTTGTATTCTTATTTCTATAGAAATGCGATTTTGCACTACAGTACATGCATCATGTGTCACGATATATGGTACAAAGGGGACTCCTTCCTTCTAGTAGCTGTGCATCGCACATGCCATGCACGCATCACAGCATGTTCCTCTTTGTTTTTCTCTCTTTTTAACATCCATGTGGCCTGACTTCGCTTCGAATTCAATCCTAAGGTTGAAATTACAACCCAAAACATTTGTTAGCTCTTTGTAAACACACACTGTAGTAATTTACTTAATTAATCTCATTTATGCAACTAATTACAAGTTAAATTCTCCAGAATGTTACACAGATTCTGATTGGTTAGCTTTTATCCAATCCCATTAGTTAATTTACTTTGGTCTTAATTTAATTTATTTACATAATTGGTTCACGCAACTTATTCTTGTGCCATTTCTTCTATCTTCCCTATTCTCATCAATCGTTATGGCTATTCTCATATCAAATGCGAGCATTTATTTCAACTGTTTCTCCAACTTCATTTACGCTATCCCCTTTCTATAATCCCCTTTCTTCTTCATCGATTCCCAAGTTGGAGAAACGATTTCAACTTCTAGGCACCAATCTTCATTCCCATCTCCTTTCTATTCACTCTTCAAACAGTTACAAAAGTTAGGTATTATTCAAGTTTGTTATATGTTCCCCCGTTTGGTCCCCTCTATTTTTCCGATTTACTCTACTTAAAAATCTTCAAGAGGGTGTTCGAGACGATGATGTTCGCATTCGCATCATTCGCATAGATGTTCTATTTTATTACCATCAATGATTCTTTCCCCATCAACATTCCCTTTTGCACAAATTTTTTATTTTAAAAATTATTTCATTCACAGTTGTTCCTTTTTTTTTTTTTTCCCAGATGACAAGGTGATCGAGACCATGGTCATGTTTAATGCTGATATGGAAGTTGTAGAATTCTTCAGGAGATGTTTAAAGAGGCAACGCTCCATGATCGACCCAGATCACCCTACTTCATCAAGAATCAGCAATTTGGGAATGCTCATCAGCTTCTTATGTTTTCTGAATCAGCATATTTCATGTTTTAGGATGCGTTCTTTTAATTCTGCAAAATCAGTCTCTTTCTTCCACTGTACATTGTCAAAAAAAGAAATCTCTCTCTCTCTAATGGCCTATGCATTATTATCTCAGCCATAGCCATAATCAAGTAATTTTATGTTCTGTCTTAAAATTTCCTAATTTCCTAATGTTATTGTTCTGGTTTTTTTATTTAATATCTCCTACACCTGATTTTCAATGCCAAGAGCCTCAGAACCTGCCTTTGGTTTGTTACAAAACCAACCTCTGTTTCAGCTAATGCTCATGAGTTATTAGGTTCAACAGTAAGCAACAAACGGTTCAAGCACATTTCTCTAAATTATCAGGTTCCCAATGGTTACCAAGTGAAAAACTTTAGTCAACGAGATAAATACTTGAACGGATGACGATTAATTTGCCACATATTGAATCATAACGGTCTTAACAATATACCTGGGGAAATCTTTTTTATAATATTAAAAAAATGATATATACATAAATTTTATAAATTTTTTATTTTCAAGGAAAAAAAATGAAAGAATGAACTTAATAATATATTAAAAAAATGGAGACAAACCAAGTGCTTGGGGATTAATGAGAGAAGAGTTTTTTCTTTTTTTCCGATTGAAATATTGGACACTACAAATTTTATTTTACAATGAAAATCAATGTTCTTCTTTCAAAGCCGTACAACAAAAAGTGTAGATGATCATGTCATATGAGACGACAACAATAATTCCTAATTAAGAGTCATGCAATGCTTCTAATCTATTATGCACAAATACAATACCTCTATACTTTCATTTATAAAAATATAAAATATGATATATTTTTAATACGTATGTGTATATAAATAATGGAAATATTAAAAATATAATTTCAATTTAAAAAATATCCAAACTATTATACATGTATAGTTATTTGGGATTTTTACACAAATAGCCCATATTATAAGAGTAAATAAAAGAAATAATTTATCATTTTAAAAATTTTAAAAATGACATTTTTAATATTTAAATTATAATTAATTTACTAAACTGCCCTTTTAATATCTATTTTTTAAAATATCAAGAAATTTAAAACATAAGAAATCTCTCAAACGAGAGAGACAAATGCGAAAAAGAAAATGAAACTCAATGTGAGAGAGACGAATGCGAGATAGCAGAGCGGTATGAGTAAGCCACAGTCACGATGGCAAGGGATAAAAGTGAGGTGAAATACATCAACGGTACTCGATGAAACGGAACACATCGGCGGAAAAATGAAGCGACAGATTCATGATTTTTTATTTTATTAATTTGGGCATTTGATTTTCTGTAATAAGCTAAGAGTCCAAAATTTTTTGTGAACTATGTTTGATTTATTTTGAATAAATGATTATGTGTTTTTGAATCTTACTGATTTACAATACTATCTCATTAATATATGGTGTATATCAATTATAAATAAATTTATGTTTAATTATTTGGTTATATTGATCTATGATATATATCATTGATATATTAGCCACATCAGCAAAAACTTATCAATTTGTTTATTATTGATATACAGTCGTATATTAATGATACAGTATCACATATCAGTAATGGAGTATCATCTTCAATGTCTAATATCCTCTTTATAACATTTGGGAAAAATTGAGAGGAAAAGCTCTATAATGAAGATGATGATTCGGACAAATTAGATCAAAAATTATAATGAAAAAAGCACTATACAAAAAATGAATATAATGATTCAGAAAAATCAGATCAAAAAATCTGATGAAGAAAATATTCAGAGATAATAAATCAGAGAGGGAGTATGCACAATACAATTTTTGTTCATAAAAATAAAAGATCCAATAAGTTAAAGATTAGTTAACTTAAATATATTCTGTTTTAATAATAAATTTATTCTAAGGATAAAAAAGGAAAAACACATCTAATTAATTTTATAAATGAGTTATATTTTAAAATATTCAAAAACTTCATTAATAATTTATGAGAGTTGTATTTTTTAAAGCCATTGAATTAATTTTCTGTAGTATTTATAGTAATACCAAGCAAAAATAATTATTAATCATATTTTTATTCTATTTATACCTAATTGCTTATCACTTAATACTTATTAATAGATATAGTATTAATATTTTTTCCTCCTTGACCATCATCTGAAAGAAGGATAGTTTCTATATCTAATTTATTAAGAGATACGTTTAGCACCATCAAAGCCATTCCTTTAATCTACACTAATGTCTCCAAATAGATATTAGTAATATAAAATTTAATTTCATAATATTTAATAACATTTAATTTGTCAAAAAATTTCTTGTATCAATATTGAAATATTGACTCACAATCTAGAAAAATTGGATACCCATCAAAAATAAAAAGTTTTAAATTAAAAAAAATAATATTTTAATTTTATTTAGTACTTTATAAATATGTATTAAAGAATGATATTAATATGAACACGCGATCCAATTCGTAACTTTGGTGCTTATCTCTAGTAATTGTTTCAAATTTTCTAATCCAACACGTACGACGCAGGATCCTGGCTAAGTTGTGTGTCATAGTTGATACGAACCCTTGTTTTTGGATTTTTGGGTAAAAGAAAGAGAGTTCTCGGTTTGTTGCAGCAGTGCGGGTCTCTTCGCAAGGCCCCGGGACAAGCCTGGCAAGATCTGGCGGCGAATTAAGAACTCAGAGTGTTTTCGGTCTCCATAGCCGGAGCCGCTTGGGAAGGTTTCGGAGATGGAATCGCCGGGAGAGTGGTTGGAGAAGGCCTTGTTTGATCTGTGCCGAAGGATTGAAACTGGTTTGGGCTTAGGCCTCGATAAAGATATTATTTCTGGTCTTGTTTCTTACTGCGACCTTGCTGATCCCTGTGATGCCAAAGAGTACCTTGATGTAATCCCTCTCTCTCTCTTCTTTTCCCATAGTCCACCGATTGATGGTTTTGTTTCCTTTCTAGTTCTTGTTCAGTGCGATTAGATTATATTAATCCTTGATTTCTGCTTACTGGGTATTCTATGGTTCAACAACGTACGAGCCTTTCTGAAATCTTTGTGAATGCGCCTCTGTGGAATTGAGTTCATTAAGTAATAGTATTTCAGTAACTATCTTACGTTATTTAGGTCCTACGGCGATGAATAAAGTCCAAATTTGTAACTTTACCGGGGACAATTGAAATCCAACTGAACGGTGAAGGAGGTAGACTTTGAGAGGAAAGAAGAATGTCTGAATATCTATTTATGATTTTTTCCCCTTTGATTGAGCAAGCAATTCTGAAGTGGAAGCCATGGAATCAATTAATAATGGTGGGATTTTTCCCTTGGGACACGTTCTACCACAATCTACAGCCGACTAGGTCTTCTATCATTTCAAGTAGGATTTATGTCTTCGTTTATAGGCAATATTAGCTTTCACTTTTCATTTACATACTGTCTGGTTGGCAAATCCTTTTAGTCATTATGCAAGGCACAATGTGCGGTGCATTTACCATAAAAGTTAACACTGTCTGATTGTTAAGCGTATTAGCCTAAGAAGGCTACCATTATTAGTTATGAATATGAATAATAAAGGAAGTTAGTAGGGGAATAAGATTTCAGGTTGGCAATTCTTTTTCCTCTCACCCTTCTTTTCCTTTTTCATTCTTCCCTGTTATTGGTTTTAGAGCCACTGGTCCATTGGACCCATGGCTGGCTCAGCCAGATTACTACTCCCTTCAAATTCAACTTAAGATTATGACTATACTACCAATAAACATGTTCTTGCAATTTAACGTTTGAATGGATTTTGTGCAGACGTTAACTTTTAACATTAGACTATTGCAAACGTATTAAAGCACTTTGCCTAGATGAATTGTTGTAGGGGGCCTGGCATCCTCCCCCGATTGGTAAAGGCAATTACTAGTTGAATGTAGACAAGAAAATGCAGGTCTAAATGGCTTAATCTTTATTTTTATTGCAGAATATAATCGGTCAAGAAGCAGGTAAAAGTGTGATTGAAGAATACTTAAGGCGGAGAGGTCAGTCAGAATTTAGCAACAAATCAGATGTTCCTACATCTAAGTTACATACCTATGTCAAACCACCTTCAGTCGAAGCATCTGCAGGTGGAAGTAAAAAATCATTGAGAACACCAAAAGCAGTGACAGTCTCCAGCCATCAGGTGGATCCCAAACAAAATGCGGTTGCTAAGAATCAGGAAAATCAGATTCCAAGTCTCGAAAGTGAATCAAAAACATCAAATAAAGGAAATCAAGTGAATTCTAAAAAGAAGAAAGGTGGGAAAGCTGTTTCACTTGCTGAGGCTGCCAAAGGATCAATTGTATTTCGGCAGGGAAGACCATGCTCATGTCAAGCACGTCAACACAGGCTAGTCAGCAATTGCTTATCTTGTGGCAAGATAGTTTGTGAACAGGAAGGAGAGGGACCTTGCAATTTCTGTGGTTCTCTTGTCTTGAGAGAGGGGAGCACGTATGCTGGTCTGGAAGAAGGGTTGCCTCCCTTGTCAGAAGCAGAAGCTGCTGCTGAAGCTTATGCTAAGAGGCTGGTTGATTATGACCGAAACTCTGCTGCTCGAACAACAGTTTTTGATGACCAAAGTGACTACTATGAGATTGATGGAAATAGTTGGTTATCGAAGGAGGTATTTTATTTTGTTCGTAACTTGTCATTGCCTATCATTGGCATATCATTTGGTGGGTGGGTGAAATTTTTTCCAATTTCCTCAGGAAAAAGAACTTTTGAAGAAGAAACAAGAGGAGATGGAAGATGCTGAGCGAGCCAAGCGGAGTAAAGTTGTTGTGACTTTTGATCTAGTTGGCCGCAAGGTTTATTTTAACATTATTAAAGTCACTGCTTGAATTTCATGCTGCTTGAATTATCTTATGAGTAGGATTAAAAACAAATGTATCTTTCAGTCCATGAATCTATTGATATATCTGAAGTTATCTTGCTTATTTGTTTTATTGGTTTACTTTTTTGTGTTTTTATTTAATGGCTGAATACTTGATAGTGAAATGCAGAAGGCTTATTAGTTTAGATGCTTCCTAAGATTAGTTGTGTGTGAACTTTTGTTTGAGGAAGCATCAGATTCATTTGATTCCTTACGTCTTCCTCTGATGTTGATCATATATACCTGCCTTTGCATGCTTGTTTACAAGCAAACCCAGTCTTGTGTTTGTCCATTCTTTCACCTGGACTCTGTCATCAATCTTACAGGTGCTTCTGAATGAAGATGAGGTTTCAGAATTACAGTCTGAAAATAGAATAATGCGTCCGCCAGATGAAAGGGAAGTGAACCGGGTCAAACCAAATCCAAATCTTAAGATCCAACCAATTTTTGTGGACCCGGGCTTGAGTAGCAAGTCCGGGAAAGACAGACAACCAAAGAAATTGCTGAACAAGGGTTTATGCTTGGAGATCACGGGGAAGGTGCAGCATGATAGTAATCACTTGAAATATTTTCTGATGGAAAGCCAATTGGCAACAGATTCAAATGGGAACTCTCTCTCTAGGCAAGTTCCTTCAGGAAATGGTGGGCTGCGCGCTGGAGATGATGGTTAGTGTTTATTGGATTATGGGTGAGGTATAGTATAGTACACGGCTTTTAGGGATCTCTGTTCCCTGGTGTTCTTAACTGCTGCATCTAAACCTAGAAAATAGTGTTAATACTACTATTTTTCCTTAGTAGCAAATGAAATCAAGCTTATAAATTAGATATTTTTTCCCAATACACTGAGAATGTGTTTGGTTTGAGGGGAAGGGAGGGGCTTTAATGGAGGGTGGGGTAGGAGTTTGATGTTATCTTGTTTGATTTAGGAGAGGAGACTGGAGGAAAAATAATTATATATGAACAATTTTACTCTTATTTTATTATTGTTGAGATACTGAAAAAGTGTATCTACATTTTTTCAACTTATCACAGAGGGCATATTGGTCATTGGCCAAGGTATGAAAAATTTTACCCCTACTCTCTAATTTTCAAGCCAAACAAGGGGAGGGGACAAAATGCCTCCCCTCCCCTCCAACCAAAACGGTCCCTGAGAGATTCATGAGAGGGAGAGAGATAGACTTAAATGCTTTTCAAGTATAATTTATATTTGAATTTAAATATGTGAATAAATATTGCATGGAAAAAAAAAATTATACAAGAGTCCAATAAAATATATAAAGAATGAATTTAAGAAGCATAAATGATTGCATGTATCCAGGCCCGAAGCCCCCAACCATGGCATACGAGTAGTTTACTCTGTGTAGTTTTGAATTATACAGTATTAATGACGTATTGATGTTAATATAAAAAGGAAAAATATTGATATTGATGATTTACCAGCAGCCTCTTCCAATATATTAGATTCAGTGATTCACAATTGTTTTAGTTGAAGTGTACCCTAATTGTGTTTCTTTTTAACTTTTTTGATCCAATATTACATGGTATATAGTTAAATATAGGAAAAATGTTATGCTAAAAAATGTTAGTCTTAAAATTTTATTAACCCTATATATTCACTATGTAATATAAATTTCATAAAAAACAATTACTCGAAAGTTAAAAATAGTGTAGCTTTTCATATACTTCTAAAAATCTTATCTCCATAATTTAATTTATAGAAAGTATCAATTTAAAACAATAATTGATATGATGGCAAAAAAATCAATATCTATAAATATCAACTATTTAATGTGAACATTTTAGATATTTATGTAGAGGCCCTTGATTCTTTAGAAATAGTAGACTATAAAGCATGTATGCAAACAATTGCCATCCCCTCTCCCAATTTTTACCTCGCCCTCAAATGTAAAAGAGGGGCAAAAGACAAAAATGCAAATACTTTTTATTGTTTTACAACGAATGTTTCTCTACCAAAGCCTTTTAATATCATTTTATATATAATATATGCATAAATTTCCAATTTATCCTAAAACTCTTACCAATTAGACCATCCTTGGTTGCCAGGCTGGAATTCTTCATATATTGTTATTGTTATTAACTTCTACAATGCCAACCAAAAATAATAAGTTCCTTAACTTTATATGATGGATTTTTTTTTTTTTTAGTTGTGATATGTTAATTTTCCTATTATTTGCTGCCTAACATATCGCTACCATTATTTTGAAGAGAGAAAGCTATTTAAAAAAAATTATTTTTATTTAGATAAAAAGCACTAAATAGTTTATTTTCCCGAAAATAAATAAAGCAAGTTTTTTTGGTTGAGACAAGTCAACTTCTCAACATTGGAATGTTAATTTTCTTTAGTTATGCAGTTACTAAACATTAAATTTAACATACTGTTGATACTCAATAATTTGAAAAATGTTATATTTTGACATTTTAATACTAATGTTATTATTTTTAATATTTTTGTCAAACCTATGATTTTTCAATAATAAAATATGTTTTAAAAAAATGGAATGAAAAAATAACAAAAATCGATATTCTTATTAGATTCATGAGTTAAATTTGAGAAGAATTATATATAAGTCCTACACAATATATTTAAATAAAAGCAATTCTCCCTTAAATGTATCAACAGACTTGATAGCATTCATTATTTAAATGTATTATGAGGGACTCAAAGTAATTCTTTCTTAAATTTATTTATTACTTTGTTTTTCTATAAGCTTTCACTTTCATTGTTTTTAGTCTATATATATATATATATATATTTCATCCGTTTAAAAATATAAGATATTTTTAACCAAATATCATCTCCCAATAAAATAGTGACATACTTTACAATCAATCCTATCTTTTTATATTACCCCTATTAAATATTTTATAATAAATATAAAGTCATTATTAATAGCGGCACTTTTAGAAAAAAAAAAGTAATGATTATACTTCAAAAGATTAAAAATATTTTACATTTTTTAATATCTAACTTCTCGAAAAATGCTTTACATTTTTTTTATTCCCCTCAAGTCCCTTCCATTGAAAGATTTGTTCTTTTTAAATTTTGTTCTTGGAATGTTATTTTTTTGTAACTTATGCAGTTTTTAAAAATTGAATACATTCAATAATTTCATTTTTCTGATAATTTGAATAAATGGTATATTTTTAAATCTAAACATTTTTTCAACAATTTTTAAACCTAAGCTAGATTTTGGATCCATGTATGAGCACATTAAAAACACACAAGTCAAAAATTGAGTAAATATTAAATTAATAACTTTTACGAAAAGCAGTCATACTAAAAACGTGCAAAATACGATTGTATAAGTAATTATAAATAAATAATTTTAATAATGATGTTAAAAGTAAAAAAATAATACTTATTCTCTATATAATACACACGGATGTTTTTAGTATTTAAATCAAAAGTTAAAAATAAACATAAACTTCTTTATATAAAAATATTATTTTATTTTAAAATTTATTATCCCGTACATATTCATAATATGAATAATAATTTTTTTTGCAATAACTTATTTTGTTCCCCACAATTTGCTTTAGAATTTGTTATCATGTACCTATTAAAAAATATAAACAACAGTTTATTATTTCAAAACATATTATCTTCAGACAAATTAAAACTTAAACAATAACGCGCCAATTAAAATATAGATCAACTTGTTCTATTTCATAATCTACTAGTGCATATTAAAAATTTAAACATCATAATTTATTTTAGAATTTATTACCAAATGTGCTTATCGTGTTAAAAGTTATTTTTTCATTTCTTATTTCTTAAAAACAATTTAGGCAAATATATTGAAAAACACGTTTCCTTAGTTGCTTAATTTTTTTAAACAAAGTTTTTTCCTAAAAATAAAAAAAATGAAAATATTACTGTTTAAATAACAAGTTTTTCTAATTTAAAATTTATCATTTCATCCATATTAAAAATAAGATTAAATGAAAAATTTGTCTTTATATGATATGCCCATAAGCGTTTGAGATTTTAAACTTATTTTTGATACAATGTTTTATTTTTTCTTTTAAAAACAAGGCAATGTTATCTCACCGTTGATAACTTTTAGGCACTTTTATATACTCTTTCTGTTTGAAAATATAAGGTATTTTTAATTAAATTTTATTTTCTAATGAAGTAGTTATCTACTTTCAAACTAACTCTATTTTTTTCTATTTATCCCTATTAAACACACTACAATAAATATAAAGTCATTCATCAATAAAATTACTTTTTAAAAAAAGGCAATGATTACACCTAGAAAGACTAAAAATGCCTTATATTTATGAACATCTAACTTTTTAAAAAATACTTTATATTTTTTTAACAGAGAGAATACCTTTTAATTTTTATAATTTATTGTTGTAATTTTCTGTTAAATGTTATTTGTTAATAGTAATAACAATATTGCGTTCTTTTTAAAAGTTGAAAAGGTTAATTATATTAAAAAGAAATTTAAAATGCTCTTGGTGATAACTATTATTTATTTATATCATTTTTCTAGCTTTTGACACTTTTTAGAAGTATTTTGTATTTATTAAAAGCATTTTAGATCTTATGAGCCAACTGTGTAATTTCTAAAACTTTTTGGGACAAAAATATAAATTTCTAAAAGTTTAAGGGCAACTGTAATTTTTGAAAATAATTTCTGAATTTATTTTTTATCATTTGCTAATTTTTAGATCTTCATTAATCTCATGAGGTTAATTTGGTTTGATTCAACTTAGATTAAAAATTATTCACTAAAATATCATTTAAAGTACACACTTTTTGTTCTTTAATTGCATTTTCTATAAACTTTAGAAGTGTATTAGATTTAGTTTTTGTAAGCAAGAACTTTTAGGAAATTTGTCATACTAATTTCATCTCCTAATCTTCTATTTTATTACTTTAATTCACTTTATCACATTTTTAAATTTACGATTGAGTTAGATAAATTCATAAGACGTATAAAATTAAGTGTACATAACTTACTATTTAATAAGTTCATTATATTTTTTTTAGGCCATGGGAAGTTCTTAATTGATAATGGCAGCCCCTTGCATGATATTGGAGTCCTTGGATTAGTTAATTGGATGATCAAAAGTTTATCAATAGTTGATGAAATCTCAAAAAAATACAAGGATAGTCATGACAATTTCACTTTTCAATTTCAATTCTCTTTTTTTTCATTTTTGTCATGCATTTTTTTGTCATCCTTATCATGTTATTTTTAAATTTCTCCTTCAATGTTTAGATTATTAGATGTTTTTCATTTTCATTTATTATCATTCAAATAATTCATTTTCAAAATTCATAACCATGTATGAAACACCATATAAAAGGACTCATAGATGCAAGCAAGGCTTATATTACTTTAGGCCACTTGGTGTGCATGAATCCTAACCCTTGGACCAATCATTTGGAGCCTCAAACTCCCCCAAACATCATAATATTGTGCTCCACATTTAACAGTCCCCTCATTTACATTTTTCATTTATCTTCCACCTCCATTCATTTTTATCTTTTCTCTTGGGACCACCCATAAATCATAGAACCCCTTCCATCATTTCTCCATCTTAAACCCCTTTGTTTCACCATCCAAACCCACCATTTAAATTCCCTAACACTTTGCACGATAACCCATTAAAAAAATCAATCATCCACTTTATTTCCATCTTGGCCAAACCTTAAGGTCTTTATCTATGGTGGTTTTCAAAGTTGGTCAATAAGGAGAAGCTATGGGGATACTAATGAAGAGTGGCTAGGCATGCTCAACCTTCTTAGGCTTTATGGATAATCTCTCTTTGAGCTCTTTGATTTCAAGAGTTTATCTTATCTCTTACCTTTTGTTTAATTCCTTAAACTTTGATGCATATGACAATAGGTGTTGGAGTTGAACTTTATGATACGTGATTGAATATTATATGAGTCTATTATATTGTTCATTTTTCAATTGAGGTGTTGTTGGAGTGATTTTGGTATTGTTCAAATGTAATTTTATTCAATCCCTTATTACATTTAATTTCTAGTTGCTTCTTGTGAACTTGTGAGTCATGATTGTGCAT